GGGCTTGGCCTGTGGTGGGAGACGAGGGTGCAGGAAGCAGCGGTTCACAGATGCAGCAGAAGGCAGAGCCTGCGGGGCTCACTGATGGATCGCAGTGGGCTTGGAGAGGAAGAGGGGGGCCGGAGGTGGCCCTGGGGCTCTGATGCGCGCAGCCAGAAGTGAGGTCGGGACAATCGTGGGAAGGTTGACCGGGAGAGAAGATCCGGGTTCTAGTTCTGAGAAGGTTAAGTTTGAGATGGGTGGTAAGTCTCCAACTGGCCACGTCAAGCCGACAGTGTTGGAGATCATGTGAGAGACCCTGAGGCCAGGGAGTCGTCGACGGAGGGAGCGTCTGGGTCCCTAGGAGGACATGAGCGGGGATGGAGAGGAAAGGAGACGGGCAGATGGGGAGGTTCCCAGAGAGGAGCCTGAGCAGCGGTGGCCAGAGAAACAGGAGGGGAACCAGGAGAGGGTCCGCCGGGTCCCGGAGGCAGGAGGAGTGATCCCCTGGGTCAGCGGTGCCGAGGGGGCTGAGCCAGAAAGGGACTGAGATCTCACAGCTGGATTTAGTGACACAAAGGCCCTTGGTGACCTTGGCAAGGGCGAATTCTGCACAATCGCTGGAGCCGAAGCCTGTGTGGAAGGACTGAGGGACGGTGGAGAAGCAGAAGGAGAAAACAGAAGCACAGGCCACTGCCACGTGCTCGCCTCCTCCTTCCGCCCCTAGATTCACCAACAGCTAACGTTCCATGGTTTTTCAGAGAACCAGAAATCGGGTTTCTTCCTTCCTTCCTTCCCTTGTTTTTAACTTCATTTCAGTTTTAATTTATCGCTTGCTTTCCTATGCCTTCCTTGAACTTATCTGGCCGTTTCTAACTTTCTGAGTTAGAGAAGTTAATTCATGTCCTCTTTATGAATATCAGCATTTAAAGCCATACATTTTCCTCTGAGCATTGCCCAAACATCCCACAGATTCCGAGATATGGTATTTTTATTTTTATTATTATCTCCATACTCTGAGATTTTAATTTTTTTGGCTGTCTCTCGGACTCACAAGTTATTTTAGAGTTTTTAAGCTTCTTGGTGGTAGAGTTTGTTCTGTTGTGCGGTTTTTGTTATAAGTATTTTCAAATTCTAGTGTATCGTGATCAGAGAACGTTATCCAGTTTTTAAATTTTGGAATTCACGTTCTTTGTGGCCTGACAGGCACTTCCTGTGTGTCCTTTTTTTCAAGAACATTTGAATAGGATTCGATTCAAATTGAATTCTGTTTAATGCACACACCTGCACACACACCTGCATGCACACACATGTACATGCACACACAGGTGCACAAACACACACGTGTACACATGCACACACAGTATGTTATTAATTAGATATTTGGCCAGCTATGTTTTTACTCATGTTTTTGTCAACTTTATCCGTGAAGGACCTAGAATACACGAATACCAGCATACTCCGTCTTTTTCTTCCTTCATTTCCAGCAGTTCTTGCTCTGCAATTCAGAGGCTATGTTATTTGGTGCACAGACGTTCATTAATTTGAGATCCTCATGATGACTCTCATCCTTGATCCCCACACAGCACCCTTCTTTTTCCCATCCACTGTTTCTTGCTCTGACTTCAGCTTTATCTAATAAATAGAATTCTCTTCATTTGCATTTGTTTGTTATGTTTCTACCCATCCTTTTATATATATACATATATATAACTGTGGTAAAAGTCATAACAGGGGCAGCCCAGGTGGCTCAGTGGTTTAGCGCCGCCTTCAGTCCAGGGCCTGATCCTGGAGACCTGGGATCGAGTCCTGCATCGGGCTCCCTGCATGGAGCCTGCTTCTTCCTCTGCCTGTGTGTCTGCCTCTCTCTCTCTGTCTCTTTCATGAATAAATAAATAAAATCTTTTAAAAAAAATGTCATAACATAAAATTTACCACGGTGACCACCTGAAGTGTAAAGTTCAGTGGCCTTAAGTACATCGCCACTGTTGTACGACAGTCCAGGGGATGTTTTCATCATCCGTCCACCCTTTTATGTAAAACCTGTGTGACTCATCCCACCTTCAGTAGATTTTGTTTGTAATCTGGACTGAGAGTCTTTTTTTTCCTAAGCAAGTGTGTATGGCTCATTAACATTTACGGACATGACAGATACATTTGGTGTTACTTTTGTCATGGTTTGTGATATGCTTTCTGCTTTTAGAGCTTTTGTGGGGGTTGTCAATTTTCACCATATGGTCTGTGTTTTCTTTGTTTTATTTTTTGTGTATATGTCTTCTGACAATTTGCAAAGCTGTGTTTTTAATCCTGTGGTTATCTTTATAATTATACTGTGATATGATGCCCTTAATTCTCTATTTCTTTAGACAGTGTTTATTTTCTCCCTACATATGAAGAATGTCCAAATTAGAATATATCTGTTTTCCTTCCTTCTCTCCCTTCCACCAAATGACTTTAGTCCATTCTATTTTATGATATTTTTTCTGTTTACTGTCCTACCTCTAATTTTACCTAAACCTCTGAAAGATTGAGATCCCTAAATAAAAGCGATGAAGACATAATCTACTTAAATTCCCTCCCTCCTTCTAACCTCTACCATCCTATATATTGTTATTTACACCAGGCCTCTGCTTTTCTCTCCCAATCTTGCCTAGGATAGTCACAGTCCTTGGATTTGTTTCAGACGGTCCTACCGTTGAACAGATTCTCACTGCTTGTGCCCTCACCAAACTCAGCCCATTTGGCCTTGGTTTACCCTAAGTGTGTCCTCTTGTAATTTATATAAGAAGGACTCATGGGGATTATATTTCAAAAATAGGCTCAAAAAGTGTTTCTGTTGATGTTAAACTTGAAAGATGGTCCATCTGGGTTTTAAGTTCCTGGTTCATTCACTCATTCAGCCAATATTTATGAAGCCCCTGCTATCTATGCGCAGGTTACTGCTCCAGACCCTGGCAACACAGCAGAGAACAAAGCACACACTTTGGCCCTCTTCTAGCTTACTTTCTAGTTGGGGGAGACAAACAGCAAACTAGACCAGGAAGTAAAATCTGTGGTGTCCTGAACAGAGATGGAAGCTATGGAGAAAGATAAAGCAGATGGTGGGGGATCACTGGACCTGCCTTTGTTCTGGGAAAGAGCAGAGAAGGCTCTGTGGAATCCCAGCCCTGAGCCCATGCACACATTCCTACTGATGCAGAGTGGGGAGGTTGGCTCTGCTTCTGGGATTCTCACCTGCTCTGGAAAGATGGGCTGTGCTGGCTTTGTCAGAGCCCCTCCATCCACTCCCTGCTGCCCCCGCCACTGCCCCTCCTAACGTGCCCTGCAGCTTGGTTGAAGATGGTTTATCAGTGAAGAGCTATAATGAGATGCAAGTAGCAGAGGTCCAGCTGCACTAATATGGAGATGAGCAGTCACCTCCACCAGAGGTGGTGATGCCACCACCAGAACCAGATTTCTCCCTGCTTTCTACTTCACCTGAATTGGTGTCTCTCCTTCTCATGCTCTTATCTGGATTCATGTCCCCTTCCTAGTGGACTTGAACTTATACAAGACTGGGTCATGTGACCATCCCATCTGCAAGGAGGTCTGGAAAGGTAAGTATTTGTGACTGAGCAGTTGCCCCTATAATTGGACATAGGACAGGGGACTCACAGTGCCATCTCAACTCTGCCAGTCGAGGCTGCAAGCGCCCCATGGGCCAGTGTTTACCCACCTGGCTCTGCTCCATTGGTCTCCTGAGCACATCCCTGTGCTAAGAGCACCCTGGTTTCCCTTCCATGGCTTTGTAGGATACGATCAACCCAGTGATGTGATTTCAAGATTCATAATGGCTTTTATTATAATTATGAATGGTATCTGTATCTGTTAATATTTTCTAGGTTTTTTTTAAAGACTTCATTTATTTGAGACACAGAGAGCATGGGGGCAGGTAAGGGGCAAAGGCAGAGGGAGAAGCTGACTCCCCACTGAGCAGGGAGCCCAGTGCGGGGCTGGATCCCAGGATGCCAGGATCATGACCTGAGCCAAAGGCAGACCCTTATCCGACTGAGCCAACTAAGCACCCTAATATTTTCCTTTTTTTTATAGCAAGGGTGACCATATAGTTTAAAATCCAAAATCAAAATACTTATTAGCAGGTAAGGGGAACAATATTAAAAATTATGTCAGGACAACAGGTGTTAACTGGAATGACGCAAGCTAAGACACATAATTAGTCGGTAATTGAGATAGATGAACACCGTTGGGTTTTGTAAATTAATCTGATTATCTCCTGGATTGAAGATCGTATCTCTGTATTTGCGCTCTGTTCTAATAATTAGCCTGTTGATTCTCTTGGATTTTCTGTGTATATTATCTGCCATTAATTGTAACTCAGTTTCTTCTCTTCCACTCCTAAGATGCTATAGTTTTTTCTTGTCTTATTACATGGGCCACGAGTGCTGGTACGGAATGGAGCCATGGTGGCAGCAAGCTTGCTTATCTTGCTTCCAGTTTTAAAGTCAAGTCGTTCTCAATATCCAGGGGCACCTAGGTGGCTCAATTGGTTAAGCATCTGCCTTCAGCTCAGGTCATAATCCTGGCATCTTGGAATCCAGCCCCGCATCAGGCTCCCTGCTCAGTGGAGAGGCTGCTTCTCCCTCTCCCTTTTCCCCTTACCCCAGCCAATATCCAGGGGCACCTAGGTGGCTCAATTGGTTAAGCATCTGCCTTTAGCTCAGGTCATAATCCTGGCGTCTTGGAATCCAGCCCCGCATCAGGCTCCCTGCTCAGTGGAGAAGCTGCTTCTCCCTCTCCCTTTTCCCCTTACCTCAGCCTGTGCTCTCTCTTGCTCTCACTCTCACTCTGCTCTCTCAAATAAGTAATTTGAGAAGAGGAAAAAAAATGGCTCTCAATATCCAGAAGTCATGCACTCAGGGAAAACCTGGCTTCTCCGGGCACTGAGGCCCAAGAGAAATGTCCTCAGTGAGTCCCCATGGAGGAGACACCATGTGATATTTTGTTTCCTTCTGCTTCCCCAGAAAACCCTTTTGCCGTGCCTCAGGATGGGGGAGGTGAGACCCGAAGCACCCGGCCCAGCCTCCAGGAAGAACAGCTTCAACAGAGACCCCCGGGAGAGCCAAGGTGGCTGCGGCGGTGGCAGAGGAAGAAATGCCACCTGTGCCCACAACCCCCTTCCATGGACTTCCAAGATTAGGAGCAAACTCAGGGGTGGGGGCCAGGGGTTGTAAGGGAGGGGGTCTTGAGCCACCCGTCTGCAAGCAATAGTCCCATTCTGGGCTGGTGGCTTCTGAGAGGTGACACCGTTGTGGACTCAGGATGACCAACACAAAGCTGCTCTGGCTAATTCAAGCCGTAGGGATTAGGCCTGTGCATTGTTCCTGTGGGCCCCTTGTCTCTACTCCATCCAGTTGTGGCCTGTGGGCCTATCTGTGTCAGGATACCAAATGTGAGTGTGTGTGTACACGTGTGTATGCGTGTGTGTGTGCGCACGTGCACGCGTGTGCATGTGATTTGAGGTGTTCTTTTTGTTTGATTGATTGGTTTCTATTGGAGTCCCCCCGAGTCCTCTGATGGGCACAGGTCAGCGGTGGTGGGGGCCCTTGCCAGCGTCCCGGTTCAAGCTTCTTGCTGCAGCTGGCAGCTATGAGCCAGCGAGCCTGGGGCACAGCCCCCCGAGGTCTCAGAGGGCGCTGGGGATTTGAAAATGCTCATGAGGGTTTGTTCTTATGGAATTTGTTCCCATAGCAGTGTCATGAAAGGAGGCCACGCATCTTGGGCCGTCCATGGGGCAGGCACTAGGCTGCGTGTCTTCATGCGCTCCCTCTCTCACCGCCTGGGAGGGGGCTGTGGTGAACCCCCTGCAGAAATGGCTCTGAGCAGGGAAGGTGCCCAGGGTCACACAGCCAGGAGACCAGCCCCTCTGTTTGATCTTAGGGGTGTAGAACCCAAAGTCCAAGGTACCCCCAGCACAGTCCCTGGGACATCTCCCCAGTGATTTCTCAGCAGACTGGCTGTTGCCCTGCGTTCTCTGCCATCACTGCCCTGCAGCCCTCATCCACATGGCGCATTCTGGTTACGCATCTGCTGTGTCAGGCCCCAGGCTGGGCAGTGATGGGGACTAGCCCTGAGTCAGGCAGGCCTTGTCCCTGCCCTGCAGGCGGGGGTGGGACAGACAGACAGATCTGTGCTGGACATGGTGATGAGGTTCTGCAGAAGCCCCAGGGGGAAGTGTCTAGAAACCATTCCACTTCGGAGTCCCACGCAAACTCGGATGCCTCTAACATCCACTCCCCAGAGCTCCCCCACCCGCCACCCACCCCGCGGGCCCAGGGCATACACATGGAAGGGCATTGCCCGGGAAATGATGTCATGGGCCACACTGCCAGTGTAGACACACTCATTCCACTGGTGTTAGTAATAACCAGGTCTCCCCCCAGCTCTTAGCAGGGGGGACCCTGCTAAATAAACGTGTGTCCCTCTGATGGCGTGTTCCTTGCTTAGCCAGACCCAGTGCCCTTGCACACAGACTGCTCTTCGGGCGCAGCAGTGAGCAGCGAGGCTCCTGTTCATGGGGCTGGTTTTCCAGTTGGGGAGAGGACGAGAAGTGAGTCAGGATGCAGCAGTAGTGGTGAGCGCCCCGCCGAGATTTCAGCCAGAACAATCTGTTGTGGAGGGTGTTGAGGTTGCGCAGTCTGGGTCTGGGAATGCCTTTCTGAGCAGGTGACCCGGAAGCCCAAATCTGGATGATAAGCAAGAGCCAGCCATGGGCCTGGAAGGCAGGGGAAGAGCATCCCAGCGCAAAGGCCCTGGGGCAGCAGCACGCTTGAGTGTTTCAAAGAACCAAAGAAATCCGGGATCCAGGATGGCTGGGACCCAGAGGGAGGACAGAAGGAGTTGAGGGCGGGGGGTCCAGCTCTGGAAGGCCGCACAGACACAACTCCCCATCCTCTGATAAAGGATTTTCCAGGCAACCTGGCTCTCCAGCTCCCCGTTTCATGGCCTAGGAAACCAAGACGCAGAGGGGCCCCGTGACTTGCGCCCGTTCACCTGTGGCGGACCAAGCCCGCGGCTTCATGCTTCTCCCCCAGACAGTGGCACCCAAGCACATGGCTCGCAGATGCAAAGGGGGAAGACTTTGTTGGGGTCTTGAGTAGGGATGGGCCTGCCTTCCTTTGCCCAGGCCGCTGTGGGGAGCTTTGGGGAGGGGGGCTTGGCAGCTGCTCAGCCCAGGGGAATCAGCTGTCACCTGCATCTGGGGTGCAGAGCCTGGGGAATCCGGAGAACTTGAGGGTTGAGAGCGGGGGGGCGGGGGGGTAGAGGGGGATGGGGAGGCACCAGACCCGGATTCTGACATCAGCTCTGCACTAAGAGCCGTGTGACCTCGGGCCAGTCCTGTGCCTTCTCTGTCCTCAGGTTCCCCCTGGGTTAAGAGGAAGGAGTCAGACCAGGTATTTAGGGGGCTTGCACCTCTGTCTTCCTGTGGTCCGCGGGTGACGCTCACAGAGCTGCAGCTTGTAGGACTCAGCATCCGGCCCCTGCCAGCAGTCTCACCGGGGAGACCAGTAAACCCTATGGGGCTCAGGATGGAACATCCTGTTTGTGTGGGGGCCTCCCACTTGTGGCTCGGCAGACAGACGGGGCCAGCTGAGGGGTGAGACGGGGCACCAGGTGTGAGAGCCCTGAGTGCAGGGCACGTGTGCACAGGGCCATCCCCCACCATGTCAAGGGCCCCTCAAAACCCTGCAGGAGCCCAGCGAAAACCCATCCCACCCTACTGTGACAGGCCCCCGTGCCAGTCGGTAGAGTGTCCCTGCAAATAAGACACGGGGTCATGACAAGTTCAAGTAGAGATTTACAGAGTTAGTGTTTCCTAGTGACTCCCAAACCTGGTTTTTCAAGCTGCCTATGTTTACTTCTTACTGTGAGCTTCTGGCTATCACCACGTAATATGTAAAAATAACAATAGTAACAGTACAAGAAAAAAGAAATAAATAGCAGAGGAAGAAGAAGACAGCGTACCTTACTGGGGGTTTTGTCCCGCCAGGCGGTCTGTGTCCTGACCCCAGTCGGTAAGCACCCCCTCCCACTGGGAACGGCCTGGCGTTGACGGGCAGCTCAACGCTTTAACTCTCGCCTGCATCTGGTGTGATTAGTGTGGTTCGGAATCGACTCAGAACCAGTACCCGGTGCACCCTCGGGCCCTCCGCCCTCACCTTAACATCCGCAGTTGTCCTGAGCCTCAAGGAGCCGCCCAGGGGAGCATCTGACACCGACCAGGACCAGTTTGAAACAGGCCTTAATGGAAAACACGTGCACGTGCACGCACACAGGCAACCATGCACACGCGCGCACACGCAGGGGGATCCAGTCCCTCTGGCAGTCCCTGATCCTTTAGAAGGAACAGGTGGGCAGCTAGCTAGGGTGGGTGGTGCTCCCCTTCATCTCCCAGAACACACGGCTCAGGCACGTGGAGCCCCGGGGCCAGAAGGAAGGGTTGGGGCGGGTTGGAGGTGACGGGATCCAGGACAACACGATCAGGAGTGGGGGTGACAGATTGCGAGGGGACACTTCCTGGCTCGCCATCCAATCCGAAGCTCTCCTGAGATCGTTTCAGTCACAACGAGGCCGTGTGTGTGGCCGTGCCTGGCACTGTTCCCACCCCCCTGAGGCCCCCCAGACCCTTGTCCGCACCGGGTGGGGATCCTGGCCCTGGGCCGTCCCTCCCGCCCGGGGCCCCGTCTGCCCACTCAGCTGACACCCCATCCACTGTGTCTCCTGGAGTCTCTGCTGTAAAAGGGGACGAGTTTCCCAGAGTCGCAGGCATCCAAAAAGTGTTTTAGTGGTTTACGCAGCTCCCTCTACAATCCAGATTCACATCACAGCCCCAAGTAGAGTTACTGGGGGGGCATTTCTGGTCAGTGCTCATCACGGGAGATGTCCATGCCCCGCCCTGTCTGCCCCTGTCGTCTGCTACGGGAACCCGAAGGCTGGGTTGATAGGAGTGACCTGCGGAAATTCTTGAGCTTACCGCTTATCTGGTCCCCAGGAAACATTTGTAAGGTCAGGGGGGCAGCCACTCCGCCCACCCCCCTCCAGGGATGGTGACGCCATACTCATTGCCACCTGTGGCCTCAGAGCCCATCCCCAGGCTGGGGCGATGCCCTTTACCCTCCAGATCGCAGACACCACTCACCCGCGGTGTGACCAACGCCGCACGGGGCTCCCCGGCCTACCTCGCGGCACAAACCGCCCCAGATGGCAGTCCGGTGAACACAGATGTGGATGCTGAGCAGTCAGTCAGGCGCGCGCGAGAGAACATCCTAGCAAAGCCACTCGTTCATGCATGCGTTCATTCATCTGTCCAACTAATATTCTCCAGCTCTGAACTCAGTGCGCCCCTGCGAGCACTTGCTGCCCATCACGGAGGTGTCCGGGGACGCGCTGTGTCCGTAGGAGAGGCTGCGATCACCTGAGAAGTGACTCGCGGTGCCTAACAGATCGAACACCCAGATCCACAGAGCAAATAGGCAACACTTCCCTATCCTCTCCCTGATAGTGACCTTGGAGGTGGCACTGTCCCCAGCTCTCAAATTCCCGGTACCAGACCCCACCAGATAGTTGGTGCTAGATAGATGCTTGGTGAGTGAGCCGCTTTGACCCGTAGTCACACTGTACCGCCCCCCAAAACTCCTACCTTTACATTAAAACCCCGATGTATTTGCCCTTCACACAGTGAAATGCAGGGCCCCCCCCAGGTGGCACCACTGGCAATGCCGTCATAGAAATGGTAATGGGCTCCCAGGAACCCCGTTTCTTTGGACTGCAGTGGGAGCAGCATCCCCTGGCTCTGTGCAGCGGGGTGCCCTGTGAATGGCCCCCACACCACCCTCTGAAACATGCAGGAGCCCACAGCAGTCAGACGAACCCGGGTCGGGGGGATCGCTGGGGCTTGTGATTGCAAGTTGCGGGTGGCGCTGCCACCGCGGGCCCCCAGTGGGACCAAACTGGTGACCTGAGAGAACCTGGCCTGGGTTCCCGCGTGTGTTCTCTCCGTCTCTCCCCCATTCTGTATGTTCACGCTGGTGGGATGCGTCCCAGGTCAGCAAGCGGTCTGGGTGATGTGCAATAACCCGTGGGGCGCCGGCCGAGAGGGGCTCGGTCTCCGTAACAAGGCAGGATGCCCCCCCCCGGGCTGGCATGTCCACCTTGGGGTCCGCCACACAAGGGCACACAGGTGAGGGTGGGCCCGAGCACATCCCCTCTCCTGTGCACCCCGATTTCCCGTGGGCAGGCACAGGGTCTCCCTGAGAGCTGATAACTGGGAAAACCAAAAACCAATAATATTCCTGATAATAATAATAATGTAATAATAATGATGTATTTTACACTGACTGTGCTACGCTGCTTTTGTCTTTATATACAGTAGTTTTTATAAAGATGTCCTTAGGTTTTAATAAAGGAGTGTCTTGTCAACTGTTCCCCGTGTGAAAACTTGCTTTAATGTGTCCAAGCGCACTGGAGGGAACCTGCCCTCATGGTCGGTTGCGCTCAGCCTGGGAGGCCGGCAGAGGAGGGCCTGAGGCCCTCCCCTGAGGGCTGAGGAGTCGTCCAGGGTGGCGCTCGGGGTCTGGCCCCAAGGGCAGATAGGAGGCCAGATGGGGACCAGGAGCTGTGAGCACGCGGGCAGGCCGGCTGGGGACAATTGTCTGGCATGGTGGCCTGCTGCTTTGTTACCTCAGTTAACCCTGGGCCTGGGCTGGGGCAGCGGGGGCCGCCCTTTCCGGGGTGGGGGGTTGTAGTCTCATACCTGGCTTGGAAGGTGGCCCTACATGATGGAGTGCCATCCCGCGGGTTCTCAGAGGAGGGCCAGGCACCTGCTCTCCAGGAGCGACAGACACGCTTATTGGGCAAATGGGGGCTTTGTGTCTCCGATACCTGCCACCCCTGGGGGCCACGTCGGACCCTCTTCCTGCCAGGTCTCAGCCCTACCAACAATTTGGCCAGAACAGTGTGGCTCTACAGACACTAGGACCATGTCCAGTTCAAGTCAAAGCTCCAGTCTCAAACACCATTCAGAGCTCTGCCTCCCACCCTTTCCCTGCTCCCCAGGGTGGCCAGGGTCTGGGCTGGAGCGGAGTTAAGGGACCAGAAAAGGGGGTGGGAGGGAGCTGGTTTCATGTCATTGTTTTTGCTGCTGCGGGCACGTTCTGCGGGCATGTTCTTGGGGTGCATTGAGGCTTCTTTGGGAGAGCCGTGTGGGGTCTCCCCCTGCCCCTCTTCCCAGCAAGGAGGACCAGGCCAGGATGCAGCCATTTGTGCACGTGCACCCACACCCACACACAGGACTTGTGGTCTTCCAATGGCAAACCAGCCCACAGCCTCACTGTTGAGGCCCCGCGCTCCCAGGCAGCCACCTAGTCCCCCCTGGAAGCTTCCTGCCCTCTGCAGAGCTAGGTGAGAAGGCCCCCTGTCTCCGACATCTCCTTCCTCAGCCCCTGGCCCTCCCATCCTCTCTGCGCCTGGCTGGGGGCTCAGGCAGGACTGCACGTCCATTGGCTGAGCAGACCAAGTAGGAAGGAAGTGCCAATGCCTCTCTCCCTGCAGGCCCCCCACATCTTTGTGACTGGTCATCTCAAAATACCATCCCTAGACACACACACACACACACACACACACACTCATGTACCTTCCCTGCTTGGCTCTAGAGCGGGGATAGGATAACCTCTCTGAATGAAGACTGTCCTCCTGGAAAGCTGCCCTCTCCCCCCCAGTTGTCCCTTCTGCTGGGAGCAGGGTAACCACAGGCGAAGGGACAGAGGTTGGCCTCAGATTCCCTCAGGGCCTCGGGTGCCCAGTCTGGACTCCATTGGTCAATGGAGTGCCATGGGCAGGCTTGGAACAAAGAGGAGATGTCTTCAGTTGCCCATACCAGAAATTAAAAAGAAGTCGCCTCTACATATTCAAAAAATATATAAAAGATAATGAACTTCGGAAAAATCGTATCCAAACACCTGAAAATTGAAAAGAAATGGATAATTTTCTTTAAAGCATTACAAGTTCCCAAAACCGACACTAGAAAATAGAACTCTAAAGAGCGCTATAATTATTCGATAAATTGAATCCATAAACAAATTATTCCCACTAAGAAAACTCCAGGCCCTGCAAATTTCAACCAAACCTACAAGGAAGAAAGCAAGCCCATCTTATGCAAACTCTTCTGGAGAACCGGAGGGGAAAAATAAGTATACAAGAGTATGAAATGGCCTCAATTCATTTTGGGG